AGTTTGATCAGCTGTGGTTTTCTGCAATGGCCTCACCCTATTGCAAACAGATGCTTCTTTGATGAAGAGTGAGACTCATATTCATCTGTGGGTATTATAATAAATATTTGAAATGTGGTTGGGATTTATGCTGGTTTAGTAAAGATGTAGTTGTGGGTTCTCCATGATCTATGATTTCACTAGCCCCAAGTGGTTAGCTATGTTTCCAGTACCAAGAATGATCTCCCTCTTGTAAGGATAGATTTTGAGTCTATTTAGAGAGCTATTAGTTAGCACCAGGGTATACATAAGCCACTACTGCATCCTTAGAGCTATTATGTCATGCTGGTCATCATGATGAGCCATAGGTATCACATTTGTACAGGACCACTGCATGCTTCCCTTTTTGTAGCTTGAATGACATTTTCTGGTACTATGAGAGCCAGTCCTCAGAGAAGAGGCTTCCAGCTCAGATCCAGCTCAGATCCTTGGAGTACATTTCTTTTCTTGACTTTCTTTTTTTTTTTTTTTTTTAAATCTCTCAATACAGGGTTTCTCTGTGTAGTTTTGTAGGCCAGGCTAACTTGGAACTCACAGAGATCCACTGTCTCTACATCCTGAGTGCTGGGATTAAAGGTGTGTACTACCACTGGCCCTAAAACACATGAAAATCAGACTTAAACAGTGTCATTTTACAAGCCTCTATGTTCTCCTATAACAATTGTGTCCTCTTCACATATTTCTATGTTATTCTGTTACAGAAAAGCACAACACCTACATTAAACTCCTATGTTAGGTCACACTATCATATGTTGATTCTTAAAGAAGACCAACAAACCATACTGCATCACAATGCTGCCTTAATTGTTCCTGATTTCTGCCTTAAACTGGCTCTCTACAATATAAATAAATTTATGGATAGAAACAACATGGTTATTTCCATTATGCTCCATGGGAAATATTTCCATTTTCTAATGTTGTCTATAATTTCCTTTGTCAATATCTTGAACTTTCTACTATGGGAGTCTTTCACTTCTCAGATATATTCCTAAATACTTAATTTTTGTAGCTATTTTGCACAGGGTATATTTCTTCCAAATCTTTTTCTCTTAAGAGAACAATACTGATATAAATTATTGGTACTGTTTTTACATTTATCTTGGACCCTACTACTTTACTGTGTTTATTAATTCTCAGAGTTTTCTAGCAGAATCCAGTAGTGTTTTTCAAGTAAAGAACTACATTATCTATAAATAGAGATATTTTAATTTCTTCCTTTCCTATTTTTATTCCAGTTATGTCTTTCTATTGTCTAGTTGGAATAGCTAAGACTTCAAGAACTATGTTGAATAAAAGAGGGGGGAGTAGGCATCCTTGCCTACTTTTATTTATATGAGATGCTCTTAGTTTCTCTTAATCTAATACAATATTGACTATAGACTTGTTCATGACTTACTGTAACCTGTTCAGGGCAACAGTATGCCTAGCATAGTGAAAGCAATGAGAACACACAGCACAATACTTCCAGGATCATGCCCAGAATCATGTAGCAAACAGGTCAACAGGTCCTTGCCAAGTGGGTCAGGGACACCAGATAGAGCCATTTTATATTCTCAGGCCTTGTTTTCCTGAAGAAGTCACATGGCTTCTCCCACCTACTTAAGTTTTGCCAAAAGGGACAAAAATATACATTGGAAAAAGGTAGCCTGCTCAACAAATGGTGCTGTTAAAACTGGAGTTCTACTTGTGGAAAATGAAATTAGATTCTTCTTTTGCTTTGTATAAAAGTCAATTCCAAATGCACCAATGACTCTAATTAAAACCAATAACACTGAAACTTTTAGAAGAAAACGTAGAATGTACACTTTGAGGTATTGGGCTAGTCAAGAACTATTTGAACCAAGCACCAGTAGCACAGGAACTAACCACCTGATAACAAATGTTGGAAGGGATATGGGAAGAAAGGAATTCTTATTTTCTGTTGCTTGTGGTGCAAATTAATATAGTCATAATGGAAATCAGTTTGGAAATTTCTCAAAAACTAAAAATATAGCTACCATATGACCTAGTTATTTCAGTATTTGGTATATATAGAACTTCATACCCTACAATAGAGACATTTGAACCATCATATTTATTGACATTGGATTCACTATAGCAAGGAATCGGAATCAACCTAGTTCATTGATAGATGAATGGATAATGAAAATTTGTGTGTGTGGGTGTGTGGGTGTGTGTGTGTGTGTGTGTGTGTGTGAGTGTGTATTTAATTATTCTTTTTATTCTGAAGCATTACAGCTTCAGAATGGCTGTTCTAACTGCATAAAAGTTTATTGAAATGCTAGACTTTGGGTATGTGTTTTTTTTATTTCTACATTTTGAATAATGAAGAATATACATATATGTATATATATACATACAACACACATATACAAACATACATACATATATTCCTCAATTTTCAACACACATATGCTTTGCTGAGATATAAAAGGCTCTGTAAGATTTGTTTATATATTTATGGTTTTCTTTTACTTCAAAATGTTTTAACTTTTAGTAAATACCTCTGCAAAATAAATATTTGAAACTCTTTAGTTCATATTGAGCTCACTCTGGTAGAAGAAATATAAAGTATTTCCAGAGTTGATTTCTTCAACTATGTTCTTGGTTGTGCTCTTCCCTGACATTGAAATTCTTCTTTGTTGTAAATGTTCTTTTTCCTTTTTGAAAAGATATTTTTTCTAACATAATTTATCATGATTATCATTTCTCTTCCCTCTACTCTTCCCATTTCCTTCTCATCTTCCCTCCCATCTGGATCTATCCCCTAACTCTCCCATTAGAAAACAAATAGGCATATAAGGGATAATAATTTATATGATATGATAAAACCAAACCAAACACATCTAATAGGACAGAAAAAACATAAGGAAAAGATCCTAGCAAAAGCAGGAGAAACAGATATAGATGTAGAGACTCACTTGTTCACACATTCAGAAGTCCCACAAAAGCACTAAACTGGAAGCCATAATATATACTGAAAAGATGGGTAGGGTAGGGTAGAAAGAAGAAGAAGAAGAAGAAGAAGAAGAAGAAGAAGAAGAAGAAGAAGAAGAAGAAGAAGAAGAAGAAGAAGAAAACTGTGTGTGTGTGTGTGTGTGTGTGTGTGTGTGTGTGTGTGTGTGTGTGTATGTCCTGCCATGACATTATGAGATAAGGAACCTGTGAAGATGCTTTTGAGCATCTTCTGTTGGCCATCTACTCTGGCATGCAGCCCATGCTCAAGAGTGGTTTGTTCACCAATGAAACCTTTTGGAGAAAATTAAAATTTTATTTACAAGTGGGTACCAATTGTAGATAGCTTCTGAGGTAGGAGTAGGCTCATGTGTCCACTTCTGTCAGCTCTGTGAGTCCATCTGGTGCAGACCTGTGCAGGCCCTGTGCATGCTTCCTCATCTCTGTCAGTTTATATGTGCTTTGATACTGTTGATTTACAGGGCCTTGTTTCCTCGGTGTCTTTCCTTCCAGCTCTTAAATTCTGCCTTCAAGGTTCCCTGGACCCCGAGGAAAGGGATTTTATGAAGACTAGAAAACTGGTCATTGTGTTTTACATAAATTATTTCAAGTTAATTCCTAAGGCCATTTGTATTTCATCAATAAGCACATAAGAGCAGAACTGGCGAACTGAGATGTCTAATGAGTTTACCTAAGAATAGGAAACCAGTCGTCTACTTAAACCAGATGCTAAATCCATACATTTTTACACTATGCTGACAGAGTGGTAACTATTTGTTTTATTATTTATTTATCATTTTGTGTGTATGTATGTGTATGAATGCAGGTGTGTGTATGTGCCATGGCAAACACATAATGGTCAGGAAACAATTTTCAGAAGTTAGTTCTCTTCTTCCCTTATGGGACTGAACTCATAGCACCAGGCTTACATGGCAAGCACTTTACCTACTGAGCTACTATGCAGCTCCCAGAGTGATTTCTAGCAACACAATCATCAAAGAATAGTCATAGTTATTTATGTTCTTGTTGTTGTATTTACTGAGGAAGGAAAATAGACAAATATACTTTGGAAAGACTGTGAACCCCTTACATGAGCTGAGATACATCAAAAGTTTCCATCGAATTTTGTTACTAAAGCTAGCAACAACAGCAACAACAAAACTCTTTTCCTCATTCCAAATTTAACCAAGGTCATGTTACCTAATAAACTGGATATTTACTTTTGTCTCTAATGTTGAGTTCATGGATAATATAGTTTCTTTTTTCAGTGTCTATTGCTACAATCAACAATTGATACTCTGAGTACTGGGCTTCAGTGTTAACCTAAGCTTGATAAGTGAGGCAGACAACTCTAAAATTAATCAGATGATCAATTGGAGCAGTAGCCAAGCAGCACAGAGATATCTCATGGTGTGTCAAGTGGGGATTAAATGATAGGTTGTATGGACTGATTCTAAAGGATGCAGCATTGTTAAGCAATTACACACTGAACAACTGTTGTTTATGTACCATTTTATGTAATTTGAACTGAAAACTTGGTGGATGAAAGCCCTGCTGAATTAAGGAATGATGATAGTCTCATTTTGTACTCTGTGTCATGTAGGTCAAGAAGTTCCAACAACAATGAGGACATTTACTTGGTACATTAAACATATCCATTTTCCAGCCCTTCTCCTTGTTTAACAAGTGTGTCTGGAGTATGACCTGTGCTTTAGGGAGTTTCACTAGCCATGTGTGGAAGATGATGATATCAAAAACTTAACACACTGCTCCCTGAGGCATTTGTTTCCATTTTTGCTATTTTTCTCAATTACTCTGAATGACAAATTTAAAATCAAACGAATCAAGAATTTGGAGTCCAGAAGCTAAGTAGCTTCAGCTCTTAGTAAAGGATTTGATGAAAGGTCTATACTCAGTAGAAAAAGGAAAGAAGAGGGTCTAACTCTCTTCTAGTTCACTTACCTTGGAGGTACAAATGACATTGTGGTTTTATTTGGAACTTTCAGGAAGAGGTCCAGATCACCATTTTTCAGGAAGCACAAAAGATGGGTCGGAAGAAGCCTATGTCTGCTTGCCCTGCAGAGAAGGCTGTCCCTTCTGTGCTGATGACCGTCCATGCTTTGTCCAGGAGGATAAGTATCTGAGGCTCGCTATCATCTCCTTCCAAGTCCTGTGTATGCTGATGGACTTCGTTAGCATGCTGGTGGTCTACCACTTTCGCAAAGCAAAGGTAAACCCAGGTATCTTGGTCAATGCCTTTCTTTATACTAACAGTAATTGCCTCTCTCTCTCTAAGGAAATTGAATTTCCAAATCCTTGCTACTGTTCTAATAAGTAGACATTTTGTTTTGCTATAATGTGATTGGGTAAGAGTGTGAAAACCAAATCCATTAGCTTCCCAAGGAAAGAGGAGTTAATGACATTTTGTGTTAGTATTTTGTTATAGAGAAGGTGCTTTCTATTTAGCCTGGAGCTCTAATGCTGTCTTCAAATCTCAATCTCATATCTAGAAAGCCCTTTTGTGTTTTCATTTTGATTTATTTCTCTTAGTAATATTGAAAAGTGCAAAGAATACGCCTATTTATTTTTAGCACAGTATACTCTGGAAAATAACTATTCATGAACTTATATGTGGTCTTGTATTACTGTCTAGAGTTGATAGAAATGCTAAAACACCCAGGGCAGAGTTTTCTGGGGAGCTTTCTCCAGTGGCCAGAAATCAGTCACATGAAGCAAGCGTTGTGTTAGAATGTTTCATTCTGTTGTTTTACAGTAAGTTCCTTATGCCACTCAAAAAGACAATAGTTCCCACCATTCTTGAATTCAAATCACCTCTTCATCTTGATGAAATTGTTCATATTGTTGTAGATTATAGAGATTTTTGAAAATATGTTTTCCCATAGAAATTTAAAAAGAAAAGAATCCTTTTTGGATAATGTCTACTGTGAAGCCACTAGCTAATACTTTTAAAACACAGTTAAGATTCTAGCAAATTGTAACCATTATGTTAACGTTATAGATGTTATTAGTTGCTTTTAATAGCAGGCAACGTAGTTTAAATCAAGTTTTGAGTCAGCAAGAAAATGCAAACATGCAATTTGTTTCCATTTTACTGGTACCCATCTTTCTCTTGAAAAACTGGGTTGATTTTATATATAGTAAGATAGTAGGCTAATATGTTGCCAGATAACATTTTAAAAAAGCAAGTCAGTAGCAGAGCCCAAATGGAAAGGTCTAATTAACTACTAGGAAATCGCTCTGATGGAATAAATTCATTACACAGTGGTTACTATAGTTCTTTATGAATTTTAATTGATTTTAATCATTAATGATTACCATGTTAAATAAGTCAGCAGTAAATGTGGGTAGAATGCATCACTGGATACTGAGAAGTTTCTTATAGATTGTTCTGGCTGGATGAGTGTCTTAATCTATGTTAATGTTATTGCACACAGTTGTTAACCTTTCAGATCTCCCTAGACTTTTGGAGGAAATGGGGCAGCAGCTGACCAGAATCTTTTTTCACAGGACTGCCATGAGAATATGTATGTCTACATAAAATTTTGATGAAATTTCTTGTATGTTAGCTGATTTGAAGATTGTTACCTTTTGAAATCGGTTTTTCTAGAATGAGACATAATGAAATGGGTCTAAGATAATCAAAGTAAGAAACATAGATCTTGCATATTGAAGAAAGGAAATGTTTGGTGATATTTCCTCTAGTGATTTCTCTTATCAAACTGGATTAACTATAAAAGTAATAATACATTTCTAGTATAGAGACTCCATATGTATAGCAAGTATACTTTGAAATTACTCTTTAAACATTTTTGTGTGTTTTGGTAACATTTCTTTATATAGTAAGGAAACCCTATGGGGCAATGCTAACAGTTTATTTAGATATTTCTCATTATATTTTCTATTCCTGACAGTTAAAAGAAAAAATATACCCATTTTACTCTTTTTTTATCTATTTTGATAAAAGAGAAAAATCCATGTGTAATATGATGTAGCATGACAACTGTCAGTCATATTATTTAATATTAAATTCTGTCTCAGTCACTCTTTGACTATTTTCCTCCTATTCGAAGTGGGGCTGATACAATTTATTAAACTCCAAACATTGATCCAATGTGTAACATAGACCTAAATGGAAGAATCATACTTAACTAAGAGTCTTTTCTTAGATTGAAACATAAGTGGAGATCTTCATGTCTTTGAGTTACTCAACTTTTTAAAGATATGACATAAAACCACAAATATAGAAGAACAAAATTATGAATTGTACTTCATGAAAATTGAGACTTTAGGCCATAAAAATAGACAACCCATAGATAAGGAGAAAACTGTTACAAAATATATAAACAATTCTCATAAATTAACAATAAAAATAAAAAAATAAACTTTAACATGGAGCAAATATCTGAATAGACATTTCTCCACAAAGATGTATGATAATGCAATGAACACATGAGAAAATGCTCAATAATATTAGTTATTAGAAAAATTCATATCAAGTCCATAACATGCACTAATGTACCTAAAATACTTTTAAAAATTTTTTAACAATTGATGAGAATGTAGAGAAATTGAAAACATCCCATTTATTTCTACTGCAGAGGAAAAAAGTGTGCCCAGATTGGGAGGCATCTTGGTAATCTGTACAAAATTTAAAATATTGTACAATATGACTCAAGTATTGTATTCCTAATACATGTCTACACAGAAATGCAAATAAGTGTTCATGAAAGAGTCACCCACAACAGCTAATTGGTGAAAAACACCCATCATTTAATAGAAATGAATAATTAAGATGTGATATTTCCATATAATAGAATATCATTTGTCAATAAAAATGATTATATATCAATATAGGGAGTGATATGAATGAATTTGAAGATGTTCATTGGAAAACAACTGTAAAAGACAACATGTTGTATGATTCCATTCATCAGAAATGCTCAGAATAAGCAAATTAATTGACCCCAGAAGTAGATTAGTGGTTACCTGGGGGCTTCCAGAAGAGAAGAGTGGGGAGGGACCACTAATGAGATTAGGACTTCTTTCCGAGTGATACAAGAGTCCAGAGTTTTAAAGGCATTTATATATATAACCCATCTCCAGAATGAGACAATCCATCAGTACTTGTGGAATTAGCCTAAACTAGGTACTGACCTTTCATTATATTTACCAGGTCTTTGGAAGATTAGAAATTAACGTGTGTTTATTTCATGCGACATTTAAATAGTTGAAAAGAATAAGGATTTGGAAGTTGCCGTCCTGGCTCTGAAGCACACATCTGAGTTTCATGGTCGTTCACATGCTAATTGATTCCAAAACCATTACTATGCATCACTTCTACATGGCCATTGTCTACAAAGAGACATTAAATGTACAATTGAACTAAACTTAAGAGTTATTTACCTATTTAAAGGAGTGTCTTTTCTAGGGAGGTTTCGTTTTCCTTCAGAATGAGAGCTATGGAGATCTCTCCAGGCTATCAATTGTTAAGCCATTGAGGATATTTAGAAACCAGCCTCATGATGCTGATTGTCTTCTTATTAGAGAAACAACTCAAAAGTTCATAATATATTGAAGAAGTATGTTTGCTATTTTCCCAGTCTTCATTTGGAAAGAGAAACACTTTTCAGAACTAGAATAATGTCATATAGAATACCCAGACTCCAAGAGTTTGTTTGCTGCCCAAGTTAGTATAGCTGGGTTGGGAAATTTATATATTTGTACTTCATTGTGTTCTAGCTAATGGCATAAGCACTTTCAGGAGATGAATAGAACATAGTAATATTAAAATTAGAATAAAATTTAGTGAAAGTTCCTGGTGATGTTCTTTAAGGTCAGAATTGTGGCTTCAATCCATTGTTGAAAAGGCAGAGACACTGAGCTGGAGAAATTGATCAGAGGTTAAAAGCACCAGCTGTTCTTCCAGAGACCCTGGGTTCAATTCCCAGAACCCACATGAAGTTCATAACTGTCTGTAACTCCAGTTCCAGGGGTCAGACACCCTCACACATGCAGGCAGAATACCAATGTGCATTTAAAAAGTAATCATTAAGAAAAAGAGAAAGAAAGAAAAGTCAGAGACAACTAGGGATATTCTAGCAGTAGTACTGATGGAATGAAAATGATACAGCATGTCCCAAACTACAAACCAACCAAGAGACTCTGAGCACTCACCTGAGCTACACACTCATTCCCAGGCTGAATGAGATCTCTTCTGTGGATCATCACATAGAGCTTATAAAATGTAAAAGATGACCACATCCTTCCACGAAATAGAACAATAATCTCCACAGCCCTTGACGGTTGAAGTGTGAGTGCCTGAGCACAGCTCAGATAAACTAACTTTAGGAGTGCTCCACAGGGATCTAACACATGATTTGTCTGTGTTCAACTTTTCCTCACTTGATAGGATACCCGACAGAACATTTTAGGGGCAAATAGATATGGCTGAGGGTCACAGTTTCAGATGAGGCAGTCTGTCATAGTGAGGAAGAGACTGTGATGGTAGTGTGTGTTCATATGGTGGCAGACCAGGAAACGAAGAGATTACTAGAACTAAGGTTTGCATAACCTTCATGGGCCTGCCCCAGTGTCCCTCTTCCATAATCTCCCTCTCCTAAAGGACTAATCCTTCAGCTGAGGTCGAAATGGAAGCCTATGGGGAGACACTTCATCTTCGAATCATAACAGTAATGAAAAGTGAGGGGTCTAATAAGAGATGCACACCTTAAGAGAAACACACTGTTTCATCTATAGGAGCTATACTGAGGACGGGATGGTATGCCTGCTTATAGAGGCACCTTAGTTTGTTTTCCACTACCTCTGTTGTCAGCTTGAGACTCTTACACTTCCACAATTCACAACAAACATGATATGACATGTCTTAATTGCTAGTAGTGTGTATTTGCAATTTTTCCTTCAGGGTCACTAGACATGGAACATCTTAGAGCTTGAGTCATTCACTTTTGTGAATGAACAGAAATAACCACACTGAGAAGTCAAAATATAGGAAAATGTTAGTTCTGTCAAACCCAGCACAGGCCAAATCACCGCAATGGTAATAGTTCTGCTCTTAACTGAAGCAGTACATGTTCACAGTAAGAGAACTAAGACAGTTCAGAGACTAGACTAGACAGGTACTTCAGTCTGGCTCCAAGTACAATCATTTGAACAGGGTTAACCTCTTCCAAATTCAAAAGAACTGCTCTC